AACATGAAAGTAAATTGTGCATTGCCGAGGATCGAACGGCGCGAACCATAGATGCATCTATTTCCCCGCTCGCGAATCATACATGCGACGTGATCAAATATAAATTTAGGAAATTACCCCGCTCGCGAATCATACCTGCGACATGGTCAAATATAAATTTAACATTTAAGTCATACCTCTTTCTTGATTCTTTTTAAAAATAATGGAAATTCATCTTGAAACGTTGAATAAATTACCCCGCTCGCGAAACATACATGCGATGTGGTTACCCATAGATTTCTTAAGCTTTTATAATATTCCTCAATTCTTTCGAAATTACGAAGTTCAAATGAAACCTTTTAAATCTTAGATTCTTCAAAATTCAATTCTTTCAAGACAATTATTGCTCAACCTAAATCTTACTTCTTCTCAAGGCAAACAATAAACATAAATCGATGGTAATATCAAAAAGGCATGGTGTAAACCTAGGCTACCCGGACATAGGCATAGCTAGTAGCTACGTATGGACTCTCGTTACCTCGTGCGTACGTAGCCCCCACAATTAAAAGCACATATTAATTTATTTCACCTATGGGGTTAATTCCCTCTTACAAGGTTAGAAAGGAGACTTACCTTGCTCTGAAGTTCCATAACCGGCTCCCAAGCCCTTCCGACGATTCAAACCGATGCCCAACGCTCCAAAACTAGTCAATAATTATGCAAACTCATTAATATACTCAAGTACTCATTATAATCCTATTTACAACAATTCCCAACTCCGTTAGAGAAACCGACAAATCACCCTCAGGCCCACGTGCCCGGATTTCGAATATTTTCGAAGATAAACTTTGCCCATGACACCACGAACTCAAACATATATAATTTATTCTCAATCCAATTTCCAAAATTCGTGGTATAAATCCAAATACACAAGATTCTAGGTTTTTCCATCAAAACCCCAATTTCTACTAGTTTTCATGCTTGAATCCATAATAAAACCATGCATTTAACTAACAAGAGGTGGGATTAACTTACCTTAACATAGATGATAAAAAAAAAAGCCCACTTTAAGCTCTCCAAAAATCGTCCAACCAAGAAAGAATGGAAGAAAATGGGCCAAATTCCCGCTTTAAAGAGACCTCACTGCCCAGCGATCCTTGCACCTGCGGGTACTTGACCGCTTCTGCGGTTCCGCAGGTGCGGCAAATGATCCTCTTCCGCGGAGATGCCCCCAGCTGCCCGCTCTGCTTCTACGCCTTCTCTTCCGCAGGTGCGGTCTCGCATTTGCGGCGAAATGACCGCATCTGCGGTCTCAGCACCTCCCCACCAAAATCGCACCTGCGCCCTTCTTGGTTGCTTCTGCGGTTCCGCACCTGCGGCCCAAACCTCGCAGGTGCGGTTACACCAGAAGGCAACTGCTACAGCCCTTCTTTCAAGTCCAAACTCGATCCGTTTACCATCTAGATTCTACCCGAGGACCTCGAAACCTCAACCAATTATACCAACACATCCCAAATCACATTACGAACTTAGTCGAGCCTTCAAATCACATCCAACAATGCCAAAACCATGAATCGCACTCCAATTCAAGCTTAATAAAGTTTTGAACTTCAAACTTCTTCATTCGATGCCGAAACCTATCAAATCACGTCCGATTGACCTCAAATTTTGCACACAAATCACATTTGACATTACGGACCTACTCAAACTTCCAAAATTGGAATCCGACCCCGATATCAAAAAGTCCACTCCCAATCAAACTTCTCAAAAACCTTCAAATTTCTAACTTTAGCCAAATGACTCTAAAATGACCTACGAACCTCCAAATTAACTTCCGGACGCGCGCCCAGTACCAGAATCACCATACAGAGCTATCCTCAGACTCGGAATCCCAATCGGACGTCGATAACATTGAAATGCACTTCAACCCAACTTTATGAAATTCTTTCCAAAATACTAACTTCCACAATAGGCGCAGAAACGCTCCAGGGTCATCCAAAACCCGATCCGAACATATGCCCAAGTCTGAAATCATCATACGAACCTGCTGAGACCTTCAACTCCCGATTCCGAGGTCGTTTACTCAAAATCAACCCTTGGTCAGATTCTTCCAACTTTAAGCTTCCGAAATGAGAGTTCTCTTTCCAACTTCGAACTCCCCGAATCTCAATTTTGACTACGCGTACAAGTCATAATACCTGAAGTGAAGCTGTTCATGGCCTCAAACTGCTGAACGACGCGCTAGAGCTCGAAACGACCAGTCGGGTCGTTACAGAAACGGAGGGAGTAGAAAGAATAAAAAGTCAAGTGTGATACGTAAGAAAGAGAAAACAATTTAGTGTTGGGAAGGAAAAATATCTAGGGAAGATAAAAAAAAAATGTACCAAAATTTACTTGGGATTTTTACATACCTATACACTATTAGAAACTTTATTACAAAAAATATCCAAGTTTAGTTAATTATCCGACCTAAACAAGTTTTGTTTACAAAATATATGCATTCCACCTGAAAAGACTCTCAATTCATTATTAGTGCCGTCATAATTGGAGTTATCGGGTTATTAGTTTAGGATTTACTTTTTTAACCATAGGAATCCTTTTGGGAGCGGTATGGGCTAATGAAGCGTGGGGGTCGTATTGGAATTGGGACCCAAAAGAAACTTGGGCATTTATTACTTGGATCGTATTTGCAATTTATTTACATACTCGAACAAATAGAAATTTGCGGAGTGGAATTTAGTTACACCATTTTCTTTTTTTTTTTTTATCCTCTTCTCTTTCTTCTCTCCAAATTCTGTTTGATATACCCTTAATATCTAAGATCTTTTCTTCTCTTTGAATTTTTGATGTAAATTACTTCCTCGGAGATAATCAAAAGTAAGAACAAACAGACAAAATAAAATACAGAGAAGAGAGAAGATATATAGGCGATAGTATTAGGAACTCAGATTTTACCTTTCAATTGTAATTTGTATTGGAGAGGCTTATCTTTACCAACACTTCACTTCCCTCGTCTAAACTCCACCACCTTAAGCCCTTTCCTCGTCTCCCCCAACTCGAATTCTCCGTTCCGAGATTTCAAACTCTGCCCTCCCTTAAACGTGTTGAGTGTCGCGGGCCCAATTTGCTTTCTTGCAATACAATTTGTATACAAATTTTATATAATATATCTTTTGTATATTTTGTATCTGATTTATATATAGTAAAAACAAATTTCATACAACTAATTATATATTATACAACTTATCTATAACTTTCATATATTATTTCTATCCAGTTAAATACAACTAAATATCATACAACTTAAATACAAATTTTATACAATATGTCTTTTGTATATTTTGTATCTGATTTATACATTGTAAAAATAAATTTCATACAACTAATTATATATTATACGACTTATCTACAACTTTCATACATTATTTCTACACCGTTATATACAACTACAATATCATACAACTTAAATACAAATTTTATACAATATTATTCAACTTTCATACAATATTTCAATAAAAAAAATATATATAAACAATAGAATATAATTTACCTACAATTTTACTATAATTTCGTAAGTATAATGTATACTACTTCTTCTTCTTCTTCTTCTTCTTCTTCTTCTTCTTCTTCTTCTTCTTCTTCTTCTTCTTCTTCTTCGACTTACAATCAGAAATTCAGTCAAAATCAAGTCTAATCTTCAGCAAAACACCCTCAAAATTGAGATATAAACTCCAAACAATATTCCCTATTGTTTGCAACAACACTCAATCCAAACAAATAATTGTTTTTGAAAATCCAAATTCGAATTCAAAGCTTCAAAGCTTTTTAATGGCTGTCAATGGTGGAATTGCTGTTCTCTTTTCTATTTGCTATACATTACTGGAAGTAGGGATTGAGAGAGAGAGTCGTAGAGAGAGAGAGAGAGAGAGAGAGAGAGAGAGAGAGAGAGAGAGAGTAGGAGAGAGAGAATAAGGATGGGAAATAATTGATTCCTAATATAAAGGGATACTCATTTAATTCCTAAAGTGTATATAATTGGTAAATTTATATACAGAATGTAATTAAGTTGAAACTTGAGTAGGGAGGGTAATAAAGTTTTCAATAGTGTATAGGTATGTAAAATTCCAATTTACTTTTATCTTTTGTCTGTTAGTTTTGTCCAATGGGCTACAATTTGATATTAATTTTATCCGACTGGACATTTCGAGCTACGTGCAAAACTTTGGGCTAATAATTTTTTTGGACGGCCATACAAGGTAGTTTTCTCTTTATTCAAAATGGCAGCCCATTATTATGTTAAATTTTCATTTTTAATGTCACATTAGGATTATTAAAGACAATAGGTTGGTATGTTATGCCTGGAAGACTCTTCCCCTTCTTTTTACAGCTGCAAAGGCAACCAAGACATTTACTCACACTGTATGATCTTTTTGTTTATTTTGGAGGTATTCTTTTCTTTACTTTTCGAGCTAATACCTTCTTTTGTTTTGCGAGATACGCGAGGTACTGGAAGGAAGCAGGAAATAGCTTGGAAGTCACGAACACAACAGGTCAATTCGAACTATAAATAAATAAATTTCTTACGATACTCGTGCCAAAGACTGTAGGAAGATCACTAGGTGCACCTGAACTAGCAGGGCGTGCGTAGAAATGCTATACACTACTATCAATGAATACTCTCGTCTTACTACAATGTATTCGGCTTGAACTGCTTGTATGTTGACAATTGAAGTTCTATTTTTCTTTCTAAATTATAAAATTATGCATGCGTTTGTTTGTTTCACAATGAGCAGGACGCAAGACCAGATAGAGTAATAATTTTTCAGGAAACATGGGTTTGCTCTTTTGTTCTTACCCATCAACAAAAATTTCTCTGATCTCTAGACTATTTTTTGCTAGGTTTATCTCCCTTGGCAATTGTTTGCAGCTTTCGACCAAAAAAAGAATTCACATTGCCGATGTCTCTGTTTCTAGGAAAGTTTAGTTTTGGGCTTTCAATCTAAGGCTGGCATCTTTCAATATTAAGGTACCAAAATGGAAAATTTTCAGACACAGATAAACTACAAAAAAGGAATAAAAGTCTTTATCTTATTTAGCTGGAAGAGAGTGACAACACCGTCGTCTAATAACAGCTGCCAAATTCAAATCCTAGTATAAGCAGCAAAAGAAGACTAAAACCAACAATTCCACCAAAAGCTTCTCTTCAAAAGTGAAACATGAACAAGCACATGCCAGCCCTCCCAACTCTTCCCATCACAAGCTTAAGCTTCAGCAAATCTGGCATTAAATAACAAATGATAAGTGAGATACAGTATAGAAGAGACTACATCTTCTAAGCAGATTTATCGATGAATATTCAATTTAAGTATATTCTTACCCTAATTCAGAGAGCTTCAAGTGAGCCTCAGCATAGTCGGCAAAGAAGGCATCTTCATCCTGATATAAGCAAAGAGTTGCTCCTATCAGTCATGGAGCAGGTGTTTTCAACTTCAAATGAAACAAATTTAAAGTTTATATATACTGACTGCAGCATATTTCTCAACAAGGGGGTGGAAAGCAGGATCAGAAAGGAGAGCCTTGTCTGAAGGCAACTGCAAAAGCCCTTCTTTCTCCCCACTCAAAAGTTCCCTGCAATAGCAATTATGTCCCATAAGCAAGATCGACAGATAATAGTTAGCAGTAACACGGTATTCCACAAAATTGAGAACTGAAAAAATAAACATATTTGAGGGTAGTCTTACGTAAAGTATGAGTTGTCAAAGATGAGGGGATTGGTAGTCCAAGGTCCCTCGAAACCAGAACGTTCCTTGTGGCACCTTCCCTGGAGCAAATTGCAATAAGAAATAAGTACTTGACAACAGAAGCTTGTCTGCTCAAGACAAGTAGGTTTAAACAGAATAAAAGCAGGCTACAAACCAAGGTATGGCCACCAGAGAGTGCAACAATATCCTTGTCAGATAGACCCATTTGCTTCACAAACACATCTCTCAAGTGGTCAGAACCTGCATTAGGTTGACAGATGATTACCAAGGAAGGCAAATCACAATAAATCTTAAGCTCCTTTTTCGTTCTGTTTCGCAGTCAAATTGTGCTGTATAAAGCTGTAAAGACAATTCTCAAAGGAAGAACTTACCCTTGATGGCATCAGGCAAGCGACCTTCAACTGGTGGCTCTGTCTTGTCCTGTTAATGGAATGTTAAAGATAGAAATCTAGTTAGGTCCAGATCTCGCCAAAATAAACAATTTTAACATTGGCACAATAAAGTCACAAACAGACCACCACAAACATGCTGAATCATAAAACATGGAGTATAAAAAGAGAAATCAAAATATACAAACAATATGGAATTTAGCCACATAACCAACAGAAAATCAGCATTGATGTGCACACACGCTGACTCAGAGACCACCAATTGTCAATAAAGATAAATTAGCATCTAGTTGGTATATATATGACTTGGAATTCCGTAGTTAAGAGCGACAAACATGGCCACATTTGAAGATATAAGAAACACCAAGTATTTCCTAATTCCTAATTGAGCAGGAAAAGGAAGACAAGGGCGTAGGAATCATCAAACTAAATTCAATGCAGGAAGTTCTTTAGACATACCCTTGTCACTAGTGAAGCATATGCATATCATAATGTCTTGGTTAACCATTATCAATAAGGCAATATTTCACTAAGAATATTGGCAAAGATTTTTTGCCAAAAGTGTAAAATCTGGATAAAGGCTCTCACTATCCAATGTCATTACTTCCTTGCTAATAAGGCCTCAAGTTGAATAAAGTACAATTCATTACACATGTCAAATAAAATTGCTAAAGGCTGCAGAGACAGTCTCACTAACCTCTCTACCAGGGTGAAAGGGAACATCAGGTCCTCCAGTAACTTCAACAGCAACAACTCCAGCTAACTACACAAAGAAATAAATAACAAGTCATTTCTGCACTTTGATTTAGCAAATAAAATACATAAAATACCAAAACTAACAATCAACACAAGAATACATACTTGATAGAAATCACCATATGATAGGATAGGAAACTGCTCCTTGATGGGCTCCAAGAGTCTGATAGCAATGTCAATACCATTGTTTGCTCCATGTCCTTGCTCAGCCTTGAACCTCATGGTACCGAATGGACCTCCAGTTTTGGAGCACACATCATAGGTACCAGCAGAGTGCCATCTGAGACAACAGAAAAAATTTTGAGAGTCACAAAAGAAAATTTCTTTTTTCCTAGGAAAACTTTTCTAGGATAAAAAAACTTCCATCATCCCAATTTACAGGACAATTCCTATATCAACTATTCCAAACTGTATAAAACCATTCCCCCTTCAATATACAAACTTCTTTTAAATAAAATCCACTAAACTATTTGATCTCGTGTTTTCACCATCAAACTAACCATTCAGCCATCATTCAAGTCATAATCCTACACTTATGTCAAATTAGCATATTAAACAGTGTGCCCAATGGAGGAGAAATTCCTTTTCTTTTATTAATTGAGTAATTTGATAGCTTCTTTTGTTCTGTTTTAAGAAGAAACTGATTGAAGAGAACATACGCAAGACGGAGCATAAGAGGAGCGCAATTCTTCTCAGCAATGAGTCCTCTGAGTTTCCTCTTACATTTGTCAACAGCCTTGAGGTACTCCTCGCTTACGGTGGGATAGCTCTTACCCATAGCAATTGTTCTACACAACATTCAAACACAATAAGATCCAAGTTTCAGAATCCAATACACATACAAGTATTAACAGATCGTATGCAGTTAACAGTTACCATACATATCTATTGTTGGATTAGATCCAGAAGCCGTATGTAAATGTCAAAAAAAGCATCGTAGTTAAAATAAACAAAAAACACAAATATAATGTGTAAACATATCTTAGTTAAACCTTTGGTCAAACTAAATCATAGTTAAAACATTTATACACATCATTAGCAATAAAAAATCTATACAGTTTTTGAAAAACTAAAAATAATATAAATTGATATAATGTCTTTAAAATATCCGCCAATATTAGGAGGACATAATCCATAAAAAAGGTGTTTCAGAAACTAAAACCGCATACCAAACTAAGAACTTTAGATTAAAAATCTATATAAATTTTAATTTAAAAAAAACATACATACACATTTTCACACCGTTTAACCGAAAAGAGCTTGAAAATTTTAATCAACATAAAGTTTAAATAAAATATAATAATAATAATAACAATTACAATAACAATAATAATTAAAACATTGCTGTGCTGGAGATCAACTTCATCTATTGATCCGACTCTGTAAGTAACACATACTTCAGGAAAAAACAATAGCCCACAGATCAAAATAATAACGTAGCAAAACATCTATATACATTATATTTTTAAAGGATCTACACACATATTTCACAACATTAAGGCCATAAAAGAGCTTGAAACCTATAATCGAGAATAAAAAAAGTGGATAAAATAAATATAATTAAAAAAAACACTCAAATACAGTAGCATTAGAGATCGGAAGATAAATGAAATATAAGAACCTGAAGAAACTGATATAATCGAGTCGAGGCGAAAAGGCAAAACGTTAAACCCTATAATGAGAAAATGGTACGAGGAGACCACAAGCACTGGAAATGGGGTATATAAAGGGTTTTGAATTGAAGGAAGAGAATGTTCTAGTAGGTGAATGTAGACCGTAAGATTATAATGATCGTGTGGCTAAGATTGCAAAATGAATTGGACGGCTGAGATTTGGTTTTACATAGGGTAGTGTGATCTACGGATTCGTTGTATGGTAGGTGAGTGAATTGAAAATCGGAGGAAAGTCAGATGAAGAATTCTTTGTTATATGTGTTGGATTTTTGTGTATCGTGGACGTGGACTCCATCACATCAAGAGGGGCTTTGAATATTTATGTGAAATGACTGTAACGCCCATAAGAAAAAAGACTGTATTTATGGTTTCAGATTGATATTATTTTTGCAAGCTCGTATTTTTTGCCATATTATAAGAAATATTTTTTTTTCTATTGATTAAATTAGCGATTGGGCAGTGGTAAATTAGCTAAAATATGAAATATTCACATAAATTGAACTCATTTAGGTGGATAATTCCAACTTAACTAAATATTCAGAGCTTCTATTGAAAAATAGTAGTTGTTATCCATCTAAAATTGAATTCCTAAACTAAAATAAGAATGCTAAGATTTGATCAATTGATGGGAACAGTAAAAGTAAGGTTACAAAAAAGATTTAAAATTCTAAGTTTTTATAGAATTAAAATTCTGCTATATTTTTAGTATGAACAAAAATTGCTTGGTAAAAGTTTTATTTGGAATAGATGAAGAAAGGGTTCAAAAGGGTAAATACTTATATGCACTTTACGCTAAATCGATTAAACTTATCATGGTTAAGTGATTAGTCAAATAAAAAATTGCATTAATTCACCATGATTCGATAATAGAACTTTATGTGCATCACATATTATGTTTCTATTGATTTGGTGTAAATATTAAGTGGGGGTATATTTTTTCTGTTCAAAAGGGATCTCATCAAAACTTTCTTTACATAATACCTTCAACTCATGATCTTTATTATATTTTTTTTTATTTCTCCTTTGAGCATAGCCAAGTTTCTCTACACATATCCCTTAACCACAAATATATTTTCAAACTATTAATGGAATACTTGTTGCCAAGTTTTTTTTCATGATTCTTTTAAGGATTATTCTTCATCTAGATTTATTCATGATTTTTATTTTTCCCTCTATTTATCGCAACCTAATACAGATTCCTTGATATAATTAATTGTTATGTTGTTCAAGAAAAAGAACATATAATATGACACATCAATAGAAACATATACAGGTTAGCAAGGTCATTTCACAATGAAACATATTTAAAAACAAATGTGAACGCTTGAAGCAATGGAAGATTCCCTTCAAATATTGAAACTAATCTCACCCAGCCGTTTTCCTCAAATCTCTCACTACCCAATCGTTTTTCACAGCATGGCGTGAAAATGGCCACATGTGGGTGATCAAAAGGGGCTGTCAGCACCTGACCAATAAAGTTTTAGCTGCCTTTTGTTGACGTTGACATGCCAAATGATGAATAGAACAAAACCACGTAGGTTTTGGAAGAAAGTGAATGGTATCATAGGAGCCATACCCACAATTTCTTTTTTGAAAGCGGTGTCATCATATAAAAAACAAATCATTCAAACGACAAAAAGTTAAAAACTTGAGAGGAATACCGCTAGCAAATCCGGTACTTAGAAGTTGTACAACAACAGTAACAACAAACAGTGGCGGATCTAGAATTTTAAAGCAATGAATGTTTTATTGTCCTTAAGTTAAGTTGACGCATAATATAAGTGTATCACTATTTGAAACTTAAAATGAGACAATTCAATACAAAAATATAGGAACAATAACACTGTATAAATAATAGCCGAATTTATATATATATATATACACACACATTTTTGTATGTTATATACAAAAAGTATATAAAAAGCACTTACCCCTCACACCAATTTCGATCCCCGAAACAAGCAAAATAAAGGCCTACAATTGAATCTCTAAACCAAAGCACCTAATTCAGCTTTTATTTCGTGGGTGCTCATCTCTCTTATATTTGATTTTTCCATTAATTTATCATAAAATACATAGACCCTACCCCAAAAACACTGGGTGCTTAAGCACCCACACCACTAAACGTGGATCCGCCGATGAGCTATACTCTAGTGAAGTCATATCATGTGTTATTTTGGACCTTCTTTTCCTCATAACTCTTTCCAAATCAATCCAAGCTAATTTTTCCCATGTCTAAACATCTTCATATAACCTTCCAATCTATTTAACAACTATATACTCATATTCGTATAATATTATTCTTATTTATGGCCTTTATTGGCATACAAAACAATGTACCTAATATTTACTAGTGCAATTTAAAAATTAAAAGTTCATGAAATTTTCATAGAGTTTTTGAGGTAACAATTTCATCGGACACTAGTTCACACAGTTGCGTATTTCTGAAATGGCTACTGTATTGGGGAAAATTGTATTTTATATATATGTGGTGACGTGTCAGGACACGTGGATTGGTCAAATGGTCAATGAATCACAATTAGACACGATTCAAGAATTGTAAAACAGACACGAGCAAAGGAGGAAGAGGCACGGGACATCAGATAAGTAGCACGGCGCCCGTACCTATTTAAATTATTTATATCCGGGCATCAGAAGGAATGAATCTGGTTATAAAAAAGAGTGCAGATACAGCATTTAATGAGTATTAAATGCTGAGTCTGTTAAGGAATATATATATTCAATGTAATGATTGTGTAACGTAGCATTCAATGTCTTTAATTATTCATAATAGCCTCATTATGATTTGGGCATAACGTACATTCTCAAAGATACCTATAAAAAGGAGATATATGATCAGTTGTAGGGGACACGAAAGACTATTGAAATATACATTGGTATCATTCATTTTTCTTGATTGTTATATTGCTACTCAGAATTATTTCCTTTTATTCATTTCTTTGATTATTAGTAACCCGAGTTCTTCTAAATTCTAGCTTTGACTAAAATTCTATTTTTTGGTTAAACAGCTACTCCTTACCAATCTCTGTTACCACTTACCAAAGACACCCAAACAAAATCCCATAATCAATTGCAAGATTCTTACTTTTGTCATTACCTTTGTTGTTGTTCTCTTCTCAATTATTTCTCTTGCCGCTCCATATAAATTTAAGGATAAGTATTATGATCTATAGTATTTGTACTACCTCCACAGCTAATAGCCCGTTTGGCCAAGCTACAAAAATCGGCTTATTTTGAGAAGTGTTTTTTTCAAAAGTGCTTTTCTCAAAAGTACTTTTGGTGAGAAGCAGTTTGTGTTTGGCTAATTAGTTTGAAAAGCACTTCTGAGCAGCAATTAGTGTTTGGCCAAGCTTTAAAAAACTACTTCTAAGTGTACTTTTCTCAAAAGTGCTTCTCAAAAAAGTGTTTTTGGAGAGAAGCTACTTTTTTCTGCTTCTCCAAAACTGCTTCTGCTTCTCCTCAAAAGCACTTTTTTTCCTTCCAAAAGTTTGGCCAAATACCTCAATTTTTAACAAAAAAAAAGACACTTTTAGCTAAAAAGAAGATTGGCCAAACAGGCTATAAGTGAGACTGTGCAAGATTCCCAATTCTGCTCCATTAAAATAGGTGGTGATTTAAAAAAGTAAAAATCGGTTCGGAATCATAGTAAAATACTAACATCTTCATCAACTACAATATCCATGTAAAATTACTTGACCTTTATGCCCTTGAACAATTACATTATTTCTTAATTTACAAACTAGAAAAATTAAAGTAGGCTCTCTCCTCTTCGTTACTCTCAAAAGGTGGAGAATTTGAGAAGTTACATTCAATAATTTAGCATTGTACAAATTCATCTTTATTACAGAAATGTAAACGAATAATAATAACCATCACTTTAATAATACAATTGCCTTTCTTTCACGAATTACCTGCGATAAATATATTCTTCTTAAAATTCATATAAAGTGAACAATTACTTACCAAGTTCAACTAATCCAAACCTGAAAAGACTATTGTTATAATTTGTATAGTAACATTTATTTTGAATGAGCAGCAATTACGAGGAGGCCAATGGCGGATGTACATGGACACTTATGGGTGCTTGAGCATCCATTACTTTTAACTAGATTTAGTAAATTTACATAGCCAATTATAACAATAGTTAGATAAATATAGAGTGAGCACCCACAATAAAACTCTTTTTTCCTCTTCTTTCGGATTTTTTTATTGACAGCACCCATCACTTTAAAATTCTGGATCCGCCACAAATCTACAATATTTAAGACAAATTTGGTTTCTTTTTTTTTTTTTGGTGGAAAAGATAAACATTTCATAGATACTTAAAAGATTACATTAGAGGTTGGAGTTGGATGCATGAGCTGCATCAGTTGATGATATCTAGTACTAACTAATAAACTCCCTTTATGGGAGTTGTCTGCAGATACAACATTGGAGTTATAATCAAACTTTGTTGTCTTTGCTTGTATATAAAATGAAATTATAGAATTTCAAGAATTTAAAAGAGAAAAATAAAGTAAAATACTTACCTAAAATCCAGAATTTAATCATGAAGGAAGTTCATGGAATAATTGACAATCATTATGCTCAATCCCAAAGCTTCTACTCAATCGGTTAGAGTCTCGTGCTGATAACGTGTTATGAAAATAATAAAAGAATAAGAACAATATTGCAGAGAAAAGTAGAGAGGGAGAATTCTTATTGAATTTTGGGGTGAATTACAATGGAATAGAACCCTCTATTTATAGGGAGAGGGTGATTTAGCCACCAAGCAGTGAACCCTAGAATCTCTCTAAATATAGACATTCACCATAAATACAATTCTATTTATAACAGGTAGTCATTTGTAGGAAGTCTACCATGACATAATAACCATAAGAAAAAAGCAATTTTAGGAGGTATTTTAAACTTCCAAATCCACTTGTAATTGAATTGATTATTTGTAATAGGGTTATTTAAATCAGTTATGAGAGCATGGTACATAGACTTGACAGAGAATTCCCCATTCTTAGTAAGTGACCAGTAAAGTTGGTCATAGCCAATGGGTAAAGTTGGTAGATAAAGATCTGTGATTTCATGTTGTAAAGAAGAGGATA